TTTTTTTTTTTTTTTTGGAGAGGTTTTTGCTATAGGGCACATGCGATTGCCAGAAAGACAGAGAGAGACAGAGAGACAGAGAGCAAGAAATCATCCCCCCAGGGGGGATGGGGCCACGCCACAAACCCTTCTCCATTCTCCTTTCAGGATCTTGGGCACACACACACATGTGCCTGGTGTAGGTTTAAGCTGCTGGGTCTTGGACTCGAACTGCGGTCAACTACATGGGAGTCCAGCAACATAGCCATTATGCCAACTGTTGGTTCCAACCATGGATATTTTAATTAACTTGATTTTGGTATTCATATCACATGCATACATTTATGAAAACATCATAGCATACACCTTAAATATATGCAATAAAAGCAGAAAATCAATGGTAGTTTTATGTATATTTATATAGCAAAATATCTAAGATAAAATTTTAAGTGATAAAAATGAGCTGCAAAATAGTATGTATAGCTTTTTTTCATTTTATACAAAATAACTTTATATATATTATATATATAAAAATAAGTGTGCTATACATACAGATAAAAACTTGGATCAATATTTACTACACACTTTAATAGTAGTTTCCGCTGGAGGAATTAGAAGAGCTTTCTAATTTCTAAGTCATGCATATCTGTGTGGTTTTAAGTTTTTACAATGAACACAACTTTCTTTTTCAAGTCAAAATGCAAAAGGTCTAAAATATAAGATAAATAAAAAATTTCATAGAAGCTGACATTAGCTAACATTTAATGAGCTTTTACTATGTGACAGGCATAGTTCTAAGTACTATACATACATGCATACATATTCATTAATTCCTCAGTGAACTCTGTCGGGTTATTGAGTCTCCCCATTTTATAGATAAAGACACTGAAGTACATAGAGATTAACTAACTTGTTCAAGATCAAATAGCCAATAAGAGGTACAGTCAGAATTTGAACTCTTCTCTGTCTATAGAACCCTAGCTCTCAGAAATATGCTGCCTGCCTAGTGGGAAAAGTTAAAATATGTTAGGGAAAAAATACATGTCAGATAATCTTAGTTCATACCAGTCATGAACAAACTGGCTAACCATTGATTACTGTACAAGTTTTGAGCATAAAGTAGTAATAATTGTCTTCCTTTATTGATTTTATTATATATCAGATCTACTTGAGTAAGACATTTTTATTTAAGTTTATTATCATTTCTTTCTCCTTTAGTGAAAGAGAGAGAGAGTGCACTCCTACAGGATTTTGACTCTGTGATCTATCCCTAACCAGACTCAGATTGTGGACAAGTGTATGTCCACTAACCAGACTCAGATTATGGGCCAGTGCATGTCCACTGTACTCAGGGAGGTCTCTAGATACAAACCTGGAACCTTCCCACATGTGTTAGTTTTGCAGAGCATTGTGTTTTTTCATTGTGCTTCCATCCAGATACCCCTGCATGAGGCCTTTTACCTACATCATCCCTTTAAGAATATTTTTAGAAAGTTCTAGTTTCAAAAAATATCTGCAAACTCACCATGTCTCATCACCTTTATTATTGCCTCCCTGTTCCAAAACACCATCACCTTTCACCTGGATTATTGCTAACATTTTTTAATTGATATCCTTGCTTCTGCCTTAATAGTATTCACAGCCCAGAAGCCAGAATGATCCTTTGAAAGGTATAACACGACTTCCCCCTTCTCAATACCTTCAAATGTCTTCCCAGCTCACCAAAATATAAAAGCCAAAATCCTAACAATATCCTACAAGACCCTGCGTTATCAGGTTCTCTACCTCACTGAGATCTCCTTCCTTGCAAGCAAGGAATTATCAAATCACTTTACAGATGTTATTGATTTGAAAAAGATTCTATTTAGCAAATATTGAACCAGTGTTCAAACCTAGTTGTACTTGACACTGATGCCTGGAATGGCTCCTTTGTACCATGCACTAATGGAATGGTGATTTTATGTGTTTAGTTTTTTTGCTTTAGTGTGAGCATTATTATTGCTAGACATGACTTAGACTTTCAAATGAGACACTTCTCCTTTTCTGTGAGATCACTTAGCCAAGCATTGCTGTAATTGCTCAAAATGTGTTTTGATTCTTATTTTGAAAGAGACATCAGAGGTTGGTGTATGTTCTGATAAAAAGCCATGGAAGTGGACAGTCCTTAATCTTAGGATTCACAAAAGAGTCTCAGAAAAAAGATTAATTTGCATTTGTTTTTAAGAATCAAGTTATTTTAGAGAATGACTTGAAGCTTAAATCGATGAAAACAAAATATTTTCAAGAAGAAAAATATCTTTTGTTCTGACAGAGAGTGATTATAAGGAAATTGATCTGATGATTTCAGATGGCTCACAAACTAACTCAGGACACAGTATTAAAAGACAAGTTTTTAGGAATCCATTTCATGGATTCCTATTGGTCTAAGCACTCTATGTATTAACTATTAAAATTCACATATTATAGAAGAACAAACTAAAGAACAAAGAAGTTAAGTTACTCATGATCTCTCATTTAAAAATGTGGGAAAGCTGAGGTTTGAACACAGGCAGTCTGTGCTTCTGAAAAATACACTCTTGCTTTTAGAAAGAGCACAGAACTGCTGTCTTGAAATTTTTTAGATTACGCATCCTTATTTATAATCCACCAAAAGCCCTAAGACATGAGAAGTCATTGATGTAGCCTATACAAATCAACTTTCCTGGATAGATATCTAACACTCCAGGCTATCAGCTGGTGCACATAATCAGTAAGAAGATAAAGGGATGAGGAAAAAAAAAAAAGGCAGAGACCAAGGAAGTTTACCTAGCAGAAACAACACATGTATTTACATATTTGTATACATGCATTACTATACTAATGTATTATGCACATTGTAAAACATACACAAAAATAGAAGATCTAAAATAGTGAGATTTTAAAAATAAACATAAGGGCCAGTCCTGCAACACAGCAGTTAAACTCTGTATGGAGGGAACTGAATGTGACATGGCTGACTGCAGTTTGAGTCCCAGCTCCAGGGGCTTAAATAACACACCAGGCACATATGTGCAGGTGCCCGGGATACTGATGGAAGAATGGAGGAAAGGGGATTATGGCATGATCAGGGCTTCTAGGGAATGCAGTTTCTCTGTCTCTTTCTCTGGATCTCTGTCTGGCATTGAAAATAAATAAATAAACGTAACTGAACGTTCTACTAGTATTTATTTTGTTCTACCAAGATGAATTGTCATGAGCATCCCCTGAGGAATACACATCCTAAGTTAGAGAATTGACTTGGGTTACCATAGTTTTGAATTCCGACTTTACCATTTACTACTTCATTTATTGTTTTTTTTAAGTAATTGTTTTTATTTAACTGTATTTATTTATTTATTTGACCAGAGAGATACACACAGAGAGAGAAGGAAAGTGAGAAAGCAAGCCGTCAGGTCTGGGGCTCGAACTGTAATCTGTCATGTGAGAGTCTAGCACCCCAACCATCACTCCATCTGCAGGCCCCTGTCACTTACTATTTTAATATTCTGGGCAAGTTGCTTACTCTCTGCCTCTGCTCTTTCATCTGTTAAATCAAAATAATAACTCCTAATTTGCAGGTTTGTGCTGTTTAAATGAAGTGATGTATACAAAATGTATAGGTTCTGGCTTTTAGCAAGGTCTTTAGATATTACTTGCTTTCCCTCAGAGTTTTAATTCCCATTATTTGCATTTCATTGTCTGTGTTTTTAGAGTTTCATTACTTTGTAAACACTCCTATAATTAAGCTGGAGGCAGCCCTGCAGTTAGATTTGGTGCATCTAGATGGAGCCAGATTAATAGCTTTTTCGTGCTGCATCATTCCAAACATGGCACAGTTGTGACTCTGACAGCAAAGAAAACTGGGGAAGACATCTGGAAGAACCTATGTGCGTTTTACTTCGTGCATAGCACTATAGGAATTGGAAGGGAGGGAGGGCGTAATGACTATCAGATACATAAAAATGAGTGGCCCAACTGTTTAATAATTGTGTGCCTGAGAACAGAAGCCCCCTTTTACGTCAGCTGTTAGATTGCCCTTTGTGATTGGGAATCAGACTTGAATGATATTTTTAGCCATTTTTATCTGTGCCTTTTCATGGGTGACTTTTTCCTAAGAGGGTCCCTTGGATGCATTTAGTTTCATTTATTAAATACATTCACTGAAAATTTCACCTTTGATCCCAACTCTGAGCTTTTGTTCCATATTTGTCCTCTTAGCATGCTAAGTCTCTTGAGTTTCATTGGCACAATGTCAACCAGAAAACGAATGTACTTGAAGACGTAGCAGTCAGGTTTCCAACTAACAGATGACCCTTGCTTATAATGATAATTTGGGAAGGGTTTATTTATAAAAGAACTAATTTTGAAGGGTTAGAAAGAGATTGAGGCAATCCCAAGGCATAGAGCAAGAACCCAGGACCAGTAGTGAGCTATCTCCATCCCTTGGCCCATAGAGATGAGGGGATGAAAAGGTTTTTTTTTTTTTTTTTTTTTTTAGGAATTGCAGAGCAATTTACCTTGAGAGGAACAGTGAATTTCTATTGAAGAGCAAGCTAACCCAAGATGTCTTTAAAAGGAGAGAACCATGAAAATAAATAGTCTGGCTTTTCTCTAATCTCTCACTCCATTTGCCTCCTGTAATTCCATTTCCCAAACCTACCCAGAAGGAGAAGACATGAGACCACATTGATGTAGCCCATGCAAATCAGCTTTTATAGGTCAATATCTAGCACTGGATATTGAGTGGATACTGAGGCTGTCAGTTGGTGTGTTGAGTCAGTGGGAAGAGAGGGGAATGAGGCTTTGGGGGAAAAGGACAGACTTCAGGAGGAGCAATCAGGCTAGGACACCATGGCTGAATTTAGCTACTGCTTTCACCACACTTCTAATTTCATTTTCCTTTGAATTTTCAGTCATGTTCTCGAAAGCAAAGTCCCGGTCTTTTGACCGAAACTGCCATCTTCCAGTAATTAACCAAAATGACAAGCACAAAGAAAAGAGGAGAGGCACCCGATATATATTCTCCAGGCCTTTTAGAAAATGTGGAGTGGTTCCTTTGGCAACATATATGCGAATCTATAAGACAGGTGATATTGTGGACATCAAGGGAATGGCTACTGTTCAAAAAGGAATGACCCACAAATTTTACCATGGCAAAACTGGAAAAGTCTACAATGTTACCCAGCATGCTGTTGGCAGTATTGTGAACAAACAAGTTAAGGGCAAGATTCTTGCCAAGAGAATTAATGTGCATATTGAGCATATTAAGCATTCTAAGAGCAGGGATAGCTTCCTAAAACATGTGAAGGAAAATGACCAGAAAAAGAAAGAAGCCAAAGAGAAAGGTACCTGGGTTCAACTAAAGCACCAGCCTGCTCCACCCAGATGGGAACATTCAATTGGCTGAGGCTAGTTTGTCTACGCATGCACTCTTTGCTAAGGGGCGGGGAAGTGATAAGTTGCTTGCCTTTGGTTTCCCTGGTGGGAACTGAGCTGCTGCCTTCTTTCAAGACTTACATAGTTGGGGATTTCTAGGTATTAAGAAAGAGCCCTCCTCTAAAAAAGGACACATTTTCCACTAACAGATTGCATTCTAAATTTTCTTTATTAGCCTGCGACAGTAAGACTATCAGATAAGAGTAAAGAGTTTTTTATTTTTTCTTCCAGTTCTCTATTTTCTCTCCTCCTTTTTCTGATCTTAAGAAGACTCTATTATCTTTCTAGATCTTTATGCTGGAGAGCAGGACTAAGATTCCTAAATATTTTGGGAAGTTCAAATACGAGACGGTCAAAAAATATAGAGAGACCGATGGAATATGATGCCCTAGTCAGCATTTTCCTGGTGGTACGCCTATACTTTTCAGACTGCTGATACCTAAACTTCATTAAACATGCATATCTCTCAATACAATGTTTTTTTTCCAGCTACCATTTATATAGAAAACATTTATATTTAATGTCCTTAAAATGCAATGTAGTGGGGCCAGCAGGTGGCGTGGAAATTAAGGCACCGAACTCCCACATGGCCGACCATGGTTCGAGTCCCATATTTGGCAGCTTGTTTCTCACTTTCCCTCTCTCTCTCTCTGATGAGCATACATGTCCCATAGCAAAAAAATTAAAAAAAATAATAATACTAAAAAATAAAAATTAAATGGGTAATTCTTTTAAAAATACAATGTAGCATTTTTAATAGAGTAATAAATGAGACACACTGTGTGCCTTCTGATGTGTATTCACAAGGAGCACAAATACTCTTTTTTAAAATTTTTTTATATTACATTTAATCACTTATATCTTTACAGTGTGTAATATTTCTCTTTCCAGCACAATTACTGTGCATATATTCACATCATTATCAAATAGCTTTTCATTTTTTTAGGTTTATCATTATTATTTTTTAATTCTCATTATCAATCACTGTATATCATTTGGCTTGTAAAGAGAATTTATCTGACATGAAATACTTCTCAGATCAGTCCAGTTGAGAATACTATGCATATTATCATCAACAGGTAATATACCATTTCTAGGAATACAAATATTCTTACCTTCTGAGAAGTCCAGTCACATTTTTCTTAAAACCTCCTTGTCTTTAATCTTATCATTTCCATGTCTCTAATTATCTGGCCAAACAATTAGCTATTGCTCATGAGTTGGTACAAATCCATGCCTCAGGTCTTCTCTCCCTTATCCCAAGGTTACTTGGATTATCTATCTCTCCTTTGTATCGTACTGCTGTTATGACACATAGTGCAAGAGAAGGTATACCTGGTAGTAATACAAGCTAACCAATACATGCAGTAAAATGCAGTGAGGTGCACTGCTTGAAGTTTTGCTCATTGGGAGTATATACTTTATTCACCCCTTGGATTCAATATAGCTGCTCCGTCTACAGTGAATCTTAAATTGTTGGATTCAGACCAATCTAAAATTACATTTCTCATTCTTGATCAAGCATCCTTATTCTCTATTCCCATACATACTTCCCAGAGTTTGTCCAAAATAAACTAGAAATCCAGACATTCTTTGGCCTTCTATGGCTTTTCACTTTTTTACAGCCCCTTCTTGAGTCTTGCTAAAATCCAACAATCTTGGGACTTGGTGAGGGGAGGGAGGAGGATAATGAGAACTGACCTTAACCTGCAATGTAACTCCCTCAGGTAAAAGAGCATCTTCAATCAAGGAAAGAATACTTTCATCAGACAAGGTAGGAGAGATTTCTCAAGCTGGCAAGGGAGATTCAATAAGAATTATAGGTTCAGCATTCAGAGGGTCCTTAAATCCACTCATATATTTCCATGTCGGTTTTCTAGCTTTCATTCTAACCCATGTAATACCACAATATGCACCTAAGAAACCTGTCAGTGATGTGAATATTACTGGCATTGTAATTCATCAGCCTACATGAGCAAATCAAAGTCTGGATTTATCTTTGGCCATCTCAGATCTGCTAAGGCAAATGACTTTTTTCACCATAAGCTATTTATTACGGGAAGCAGCGACCTCATCACCTGTTATTGAATTCCTCATGTCCTTCATACTATTTTCCTTGAATCATGAATAATTCTTGGACTTGCCAGTTTGACTATAGGCAATTGTTTAATAAATTGTCTTGCCACTGTGTTTCTAAAAATAAGTTTTATGTCAGTCCACCTATCCTGATTTATCCATTTTCTGGGAGGATCAGTCGCTTGTGGCTTACTTTGTGATACCAATTTCTGAATCATTCAGAGTTTTTTTTTTTTTTTTTTTTTTGGTGCCAATTTTTTATATATTTAGATTTTTTTTTTTTTTTTTTTTTTTTTTTTTTTTGAGGGGGGAAGGGAAAGGGGTTTAGTAGGAAACAGTCAGGAAGCTCATAGAGTTAACAGAAAGTCTGGAGAAGAATGCTTGGATAAGGGAGGGAAACTAGGAAGAGGAGGTAGCAGGAGGCTTAGAACATTACTCCTGACTTTGATGCAGTCCACAGCCACTGCTCCCTAGTTTCCATGACAAGGCCATGCTAGCCACTGGACACAACCAGCGCTACTGGTGGATAACAGCATTGAAAACCTCATCTCACTGGCTCTTTTACTTTAGTTCTTAAAGATTCAAAGCCTTAAGTGGGAGCAGTCACTGGATCATATGTCCATGACCTGACTTTGCCAGGACAGAGAGAAAGACTGTACACTAATACTCACACAAGGAGAAATAGAGTATAAATCCTTCCTTTTCACTCAATCTGTAGTGGAAAGCATTTTCACTGGAAGTCTGGAAACTGTTTTCTGTTTCTTCTTCTAACACTTGTTTTCTTTCTTTCTTTCCCATTTACCTGATTTTGAAAAAGTCAGTGTATCTTTCTAAAAAGAGAATTGGACTAAGATATTCAGAATCTATATATGATATTCAGAATTGGACTAAGATATTAAAAACTGGACTAAGATATGCAGAATCCATCTATGTCTGACCCTGTGATCTCAGATCCTTTATTAATCTAGTAAGGACTGTACTATGCCTACATTAAGAGTTTAATAAGCATGTAGCATATGATCTTTTCTTCTGTCTAATGAGTGGTTTTAAATGATCATTTAGACCCAGTTTCTCATTGAATGCTGAAGTTCAACCTATGTCAGGCTCTGCATATTTATTGAATTATCTTATAATATTAGATATTGAAGCATTTTTACCTTACTTGCCTTTTGACATTTCATGTTGATTTTAATAGCTCCCTTGGTAACCTCTCTCAAAGTTAAAAGGCATATAAAAATCAAGGTGAACCTTAGGGAGAACAGTGATAGAGGAAGTTGATATTCCAGGAGGCCTTAGGGTCTTATCAAGGTTGATACATCAGTTTTACTTTAAATCTCTTATCTATCTAATTATTTCACCACTTTGATTAAATGAAGCTAAAATTGGTATTGATGAAAAGAGAAAGCACAATCAAAGAAGCAGATAAGCAAATAATTGAATGCAAATAACCTTTAATTATACTCACTTAATAAAGTTAAGGAATAGTGTCAGGTGCCAACATCACTTTGTCAAATCAAAGGGCAATGTTAGGATAAAAAAAGGAACAAATAGCACAGAATGTTCTGAAAATAGACGATTTCAAACTTGTGGAACATTTTTATATGAATTTGGTTCCAAAACAACCCTGAGTCCTAGGTCAAGAATATGTTCAGGGGCTAGCAGACGGTGTGGTGGTTAAGGGTGCTGAACTCCCACATGGCTGACCATGGTTTGAGTCTTAGACTTGGACTTAGTGGCTTGCTTTCTCACTTTCCTTCTCTCTCTCTCTCATTTTGACCCTCTCTGGTCAAATTTAAATACATACATACATACATAAAGTTAAATAAAATAATTCTTTTTTAAAAAAAAGAATATGTTCAGATCCTCCCCCCAATGAAAACATCCCTCCTTTTCTTAATCATTCATAGGATCTTACTAAAGTCCCGTGTCTTCTCAAAACACAAATAAATAGAGGGTATGACACATGTCTGGTTTAAAATACTGCTTCATTTGGCATTATAATAGGAAAACTAACAAGTAGCTTTGACTTTAAGTTGATCAAATACTTTCTTCTAAACTCAATAATGCATTTACCCTTTGTCCTCTTCTTAAACCAGGGTTACCTGGTTTATCTCCTCTTTGAATCGTTCTGCTGTTTACGACATACAGTGCATAAGAACGTATACCTGGTAGTAATACAAGCTAACCAATACATGCAGAAGAGATGTGACCAGCACATTCACTGCAGAAATAGAATCTGAGGGTGAGAAAGGATTCAGTGACACCATTAGCAACTAAAGGTGGGACCAGCCTGTGGCCAGACAATTAAGGTGGCCAGATCTTACTTGACCCAGTGTATGGTTCGAGTCCAGAATCCAGCAGCTTGTAAAACAGGCCAGATACATGTGCATGTGTGCTCAAATTCCCAACAGGAGGGAGAGATGGAGAAGGGATTGTAGCATAACCATGCCTCATGGGTGATGTTTTCTTATGTTCCCTCTCTCTGTCTCTGTCTCTCTGATGAGCACACATGCCCTCTGGAAAATTAAAAAAAAAAAAAAGAAAGAAAGAAACTAAAGGTGATCTTGAAGCATTATTTTCACATGGACTTTGTAAAATGTGTTGCTGATATTTCCCAAGTCATTTTGTGTTCAATTGATTAGGAGACCTACTTAAGAGAATGAATGAATTATTTTGATTTCTCTCATTGCTTTGAATAAACAGGCAGTAATTGTAAATTTTAGTTAACAAAAAAGAGTAGTGACCATGGTAGTGAAAAGATTTTGAAATTAATTTTTATTATACTTCTTTGTTATACTGGAACGCAATAATGACGCTTGGAGTTTACAGAGTCCTTTGTATTTTCTTTTCTTTCTTTTCTTTTCTTTTTTTTTTTTTTTAGAAGATTTTTGCTATAGGGCCCATGTGCTCGCCAGAAAGACAGAGAGACAAAAAGCAAGAAATCAGAAATCCTTTCTGCTCTGTTCTCCTCTCAGGATCCTGGGCATGCATGCACACACGCCCAGTGTGAGTTTAAGCCACGGATCCAGGACTTGAACCACGGTTGCCTACATGGGAGTCCAGCAACATAACATTACACTAACTGCTGGTCCCAAGGCCTTTGTATTTTTGATGCACTTAGTGGTCATTAATTGCTTTATCTCATTTCCATCTGATATGGGATAGGTTGGTTAGTATGACAGGGTCACAGAAGGACAATAAAAGCTTAGATACTTGCAATGTTAGGCATTTGAAATATTCAAGGAGAACAAAGTTCCTGGTTTAACATCATTTAGGAGACAAAGGAAAAAAGAGAAGAAAACACACCCCAGGTCCTCACTGAAAAACATTGCATTCATTTCTTTCTTATTTTCAATTAGTTTGGAGGACAACAGTGTGATTTGAAATTGTATTTTTAATACAACTCTAGAGAGTGGATGAAAGAAAGCTGTGTATCTCAGCATTTTTATTTCTAGGAAAGTGACTAGAATAAGCCAACTGCTGGTTCAGAGGTGGGGGCTCTCACCACATTTATTGATGGCAGTGATTAACCAAAGCTACCCTTTACCGAACACCGAGCCAAGTACTGTGCTACAGTTCTCTGTATCCATAATCACATTTCATCCACACAGCAAAGCCACAAATAAATCTGCTATTACCACCAGTTAACAGTGGAGGAAACTGAGACTTAGAGAAACTGAATAATTTGCTCACAGTAAATAACTCTTCAACCTATAAATAACTGTCTAATCCCCAGATTGATTTTCCCTATACTGCTTCCCAGGTAATTAACTTTTCTTTAATAGTAATATATTAGGTAACAATCGACAATGATCTAAGAATCCATGAACTTCTTGATTCTCTGGAAGTAATGGTGTTCAACTGCAGTTAAAAAATCCTGGAAGATGAAATCAGTAAATGGTGAGTGTCTTGCTCTGGTGAACTGTACTTCAAATATTCAACAGAGTTCTATGAAAAAAACTTGTTTCTCTTTTGTATTGCAGAAAAGATTCCCATAGTCTAGTTTCTAGACCCTGGATGGCCCCATTTTTACAGGCCACTGAGTTCTTACCAGAGATAAAAAAGCATTGTTTAACCATTAGCTAAAGGTGAGGACAGGCCTCTTGCTTAGCAGATGTGGCCTAATAAAATAATCAAGAACAGATCAAGAGGACTTCCCAAGTAGCATCTGAAGAGAGGCACTAAACACATAAAACTGCAAATTTCACCAATAACTAGAAAGGAGCAAGGATGGTATTCACCAAGTAGTGGCATTTGAGGACATCCAGAACATGTGTCCTGGGCTCAAGGGAAGACTATCATCATGGAATTTATTATTGGGACAGTGCTACTAGACCAAGCCTTGGCCAGCAAGAAGCAATGCAAATGATTTCACAGGAACCCCATCAGTCAGCCCCTGGAAGTGACTGATAGTCCCAGGGAGCATCAGGGATGATTGTTGAGACACTGGTGAACTTTGAACCTCTGTGATTTCTCTGTTTGCTTAGTGTGTGATAGCCTTTGGTCTGCTAATAAATCTACTTTATGCACAATTTGACCTCTGTACTTCCAAGGGGAGGAATTAGAACCAGCCTATAGGGGAAGAGATGGCTCTAGGATTCTGGGTGGGGGCTTGAGCAAACAAAAGGGCACCCTTGAAAGAGAATCTCACCCTTTCCATCTCACCTGCCTCTGACACAAGTTGGGATCATTAACCACATTTACCCTTTCCTACCTCAAAAATTTCCCAATCTTGTCTTCTATGCTGAAATTTACCCTATCACAAGGTAAAAATCCCCAGAAATAAAAACTTGAGGGTTTTTTTCCTCAATCTAAGCCCTGGAAAATTCTGAGCTCTTCTTAAAATCAACCATGGCCAAAGTAAATGATTAACAGGAGAATGACTTTAATGGAAATGTGTTTTATGTGACAAGAGAAAAGAGACTGTGCTTGAACTCGATAATCAGCATTTTGCATTCTGTTCAGAATTTTAGTCTTCATGGGAGACCCCGTCTACCTTCTACAAAATTGCACAGTCGTGAAAGAATATGGTGAGAGAGGGAGTTGAAAGATAATCTTCCCTGATTTCACAATTCCCCTAAGGATTTCATGTTTGAACAAATACTTAGAGCAAGTAAACACCCCTGAATCAATATTTTTAGACAAAGTCCCATTACCATCTGTTAACTGAAAATAATTTTCAGATTCTCTGTAAGTCAGCAACTCTTTGGGTGATGTATAAACACATGGAGGGAAAAAAAAGTAGCCAGCTGAAGGGTGATTTCCTTCACTGTCATAATTCAAGTTTATTTTCACTTACCAATGAAAATAGACCTAAGCCACATAGTAATACATCCTTTTGTTTGTGTTTCATACTAACATATTCTAATGATAGGGCAGATCGTTACAGCTTATGAAGCATTCCTGGGATACTCAAAGTATAAGGATTTTGGATTCTTCATGACATTGGTTATGTTCTGGGACACAGGGCTCTTACAAAAAGGGAAATTAGATATCCATACATGCAAAAAAAAAAAAAAAGAAAGAAAAGAAAAAGAAAAAGAAAGAAAAAAAAGAAACTGAAACCTAAACTTTAAACCTTAGACAAAACTTAACTTGAATTGGCTCATAGATGTGAATGTAAAAATGTAAGGTTAAAAAATGTTCAGAAGATGTAGAAGAATGGGACCAGCAGTTAGCGTAATGGCTATGTCGCTGGACTCCCATGTGGTTCGACTGCAGTTCACGTCCCAGACCGGGTAGCTTAAAACTCAGGCTGGGCGCATGTGCATGCATGCCCAGGATCCCAAGAGGAGAATGAAGGAGAAGGGATTGCAGCGTGGCCATCCCCCCTGGGGAGGGGTGATTGCTCACTTTCTGTCTCTCTGTCTCTCTCTCTCTGTCTGGCAAGTGCACATGCCCTATAGCAAAAACCTCTCCAAAAATAAAATATAGAAGAAAATCTTTATGATCTTGGGTTATACAAAGACTTAGTGACATAGTATCAATAGCATGATCCATAAAAAGAAAAGAAAAACGTAATACATTGAACTTGATCAAAATTAATTTTTCTTTTGCTGTCTAAATGACATTGTCAGGGGAATGAAAACAAACTACAGACTGAGAAAAAGCAAATCACATATCCCATAAAGATCTTGTATTCAGAAGATTTTATGTATACACACCCACCCACCACACACACACACACACACACACAGCTCAAACACAAGTTTGATTAAAGAGAAAGCAAACAACTTCATTTTTTAAAAGTAAGCAAGATTTAGCTGATGTTTTCCCAAAGATGTGCAGATGGCAAATAAACACATGAAAAGATGCTCAACACCATTAGCCTGTAGGACATGCAAATTAAAAATCATGATTTGCACTGTAGACCTATAAGAATGGCTGCAATGAAAAATATTGACAATACCATGTGCTGACAAGGATGTGGAGCAACTGGACCTCTCAAACGTTACTGCTGGGACAGAAAAACAGTATAGTCACTTGGAAAACAGTGTGATAGTTTTTTCAAAAGTTAAACATGTAATACCATGTAATCTAGCCATTGTACTCCAAGATACTTACTGTAGATAAATGGAGCTTATGTCCACACAAAAGCTTATACACAAATGTTTGTATAGCTCTGTTTAAAAGCTCCCCAAACAGGAAACCACCCAAATGTCCTTTGATGGGGAGAATGGATAAATACATTGTGATGTATCCATACAAAGGGATACTACTGAACAATAAAAAAGAACGAATGAGAGATATACCAACAAAAAGGGTAAATCTCAAAGACATTATGCTGAGTATAACAAACTAGTCACAAAAGATGATATACTGTATGATTCCATTTATGTTACATTCCAGAAAAGAGAGAAAGAGAAAAATCAATGTACCAAGGGTTAGGGGAGAAGAGGGTGTGATTACAAAGGGATTAAAGAGGGAGTTTTCTGGGGTTATGGAACTGTTCTCTATCCTGATTGTACTGGTGGTTACACAAATCAATATATGTGTTGCAACTCATAGCACTATGGACCAAAAAAGTTTTAAGTTTATAGTATGCTATTTTAATATTTTAAAATTAACAAGACACATCAAGTACACTTATTCCACCAAAAGAAAAAAAAATATCAGAGAGTATTGTGGATAAGGAAACTGATTTGCTCAAGGTCATTGAGGCAGTAAATAATAGCTTTTCAACTAGAGCCCACATCTTTAAAGGATATTATTTTTTCTCTGTTGTTATATGAGAAATAAACCTTCAAAACCTTAAGCCAAATAGTGTTATTAGTTAGCATGCATTTCACTATAAGGAACAAAAAAACTCAGTTGAGAATTATTTAAACAGTAAGGATATTTATTATTTCACAAAAAATGTCCAGTAGTAATGGATTGGAAAAGTGTGGTATATATACTCTATGGAATACTACTCAGCCATAAAAAATAACAAGACCCTGGCATTTGATAGAAAGTGGTCAGATATGGAGGATTTATTGCTGAGTGAAGTAAGCCAGGCGATGAAAGAAAGATATTGTATGTATCCACTCAATATATACCGACTATCCG